AAAAACAACAACATACACAAAAAACAACAAAAACAAGCAAACAAAAACAACAACATACACAAAAAACAACAAAAACAAGCAAACAAAAACAACAACATACACAAAAAACAACAAAAACAAGCAAACAAAAAACAAAAAATAAAACCCCCCAACAAAAACAGTGTGCCCCCGAGCGGTGTCCAGTGCTCACAATATTGAGGTACTACTGGACACAATATAGTAGTACTTTCTCAGGGGGTATATTTGGCTACAGAGGAAGAGCCAAATGAGGGATAAGGACTTGCGAGCGTTTGGCGGGCGCATCTGGTGTAGTTTGCTACTTCTTTCTTGTAAAACATCTCTCGTCTTTATCTCGCCTCCTTTTTTGTGTTTGTTACTCTCTTGTAACATCTCCAATCTTCGGCACTTATATGACCTTATTGTGTTGTAAGTACCGTAAAACTCTTACTTAAACTGAAAATAAAAGAAAAGGTATTTGGCGTAGCGGTTAGGCTCCTCGCAGGAGACCCGAGCTCGGCACTTGTATGACCTTACTGTGTTGCAAGTGCCATAAAACGTTTAACTAAAACTAACAATCTCCGAACAATGAGAATTCTTATCAAGTATCTCGTCTTTCTTTCTGCTGTTATTTTAAATTCCTCTCAGTCCGGGTTGGTCCTGACAGCTATGGTCCAAGCCCGTCTCTTAAATAACCTAAAATGGGTCTATGGGTGCGTAAAAACTGTAACTTTAACCCCCAGAAATTGATTTGGGCAATGTTGAACAACGCTGACGACAATTTGTTGTAAAAGTCCACTGTGTTTACATGATTACGACATATAAAAATAAGGAAACGTGCTCTAAAAAGAAAAGAAAACAAAGCCGAACAAAACAAAACAAAAGCCAAACAAAACAAAACAAAGCAAAACTTAAATTGAAAGTAGAGGCCAAAAGTGGAAAATGCGGAAGAGCAAACATGTTCACCTACCTTGCGGCGTGAAATAATGTGACTCCGTCCCAATGTACATCAACCCGTGACCCCTGGTGTTGGGAGGCGAACTGTAGCCCTCATCCTGCACTTAACACTGCACCAATCATAGGCCTTAGGTGGGGGTCCACTTTTGTTCCACCGGTCGGGCCTGCATGAATGGATCGATGGAAAAGGTTGAGCAGTCCGAACGCATTCGTTCAGTGAGGAGAAAGACAGGACTAAGTTTCGAGCTATGTCTCTACCTCTGGTGTGTCGTACCCAGCTATTGTTAGGAATGATTATCATTCTATTTGCCATCTCCACAGGCCAAACTGCTCGGACTTGGATGGCCGCTGGATCAGGGAAAGGAAGTGAAACGAATGAAAACTGTTGCTGATATAATGACGGTTTTGGTCAAAGAGAACAATATAATTGGTCGATTTTAAGGACAAGCGGGCTAACCCAGATTTTGGGGGTTTCCAGAAATCTTGACGTACACCAAAAGTGGGCATTGTCCTACCTATAGGAGAAGTTTGGTTTCATTAGTGTGTATATTTGTTTGGGTATAGAGAAAACACTCCTTGCCTTTTAAAGAAACTGAACAAAGGGCAAAAACTTTTCTTTCGATTTTCTCAAAAAAGCATTTTTCGGGATAGCCCCCCTGTGCTTTTAAAAAAGAGACCAGTTATGCGTGTCATATCTTTTTGCCGTTACAATATATTATTTTTGTGCACAACAACATCAACAACAACAACAACAACAAATCGTGAGAACATCGGACAAGTACTTATACAGGATCCCACAATCCTGCACGTGGAGCTCATGGTGAGTGTTTTGGTGGAATGAAAGGGGAGATCAATCGGTCCCTCATGACGCTAATCTCCTCAACTCCCAATGGGCGTGTCTAGTAATTCTGCCTTTTGAATGGAAAACCTCGTATACCCAAATCTGGGTGAAATTAATTTTTCTCAAGACTAATGTGAAAATACTCCTATATCTTTCAGTTTCAGTTTTAATCAATCCAAATCTTTAGCTAAATTTATATCATGCAAACAATTTTGACATTGAACGCATTGGACGTAAGTTATTGCTTCTATTATCTATTTGTGGTGGCCGAATTTTGCTATTCAAAAGGCTTTTTAATGGCTGCATCGATCGACATGCGGTTTTCGCCAAAAGATTCTTTAAAATATTCTCTAGATCATGGTGTCCTTCGTTTTTTTTCAGTTTTGAGACAGTTTTGCTACAAAAACCTAAATTTCTTTGTTTTGCCTATCGCTTTTGTTGGCCGAGGCTACTGCCTCTGTAATTTTAGAAAATCGGCCCGGTTTGTTTATTTCAAGTCGTACTTCCGTTCGATACTATCGCGCATT